TACCTGGCTCAACCTTTATTTCCTTTATCTGATTGTGCCAGTGGTTATTTTTAGTTTAAATAAAAATTAATCTTCTTTTTCCTGCCCAGCTTTTTTTTTTTTTTTTCCCCTCAAATAACATGGCTCCAGCCAGTGCTGAGGCTGAAGTGGGTTGATTTTTTTTTCCAAGTCTGCTTTTATGCCATTCTAAGTACATCCAAAGAATAAGGTCAGTTCTAGGTCAAGACAAGGCAATAAACAAACTGGTATTCGGGGACTTACCAAGATAATCAAGATCCTGAGCCTACTTCCTTGTCCTAGCCCAAAGCAAATTCCTGCCAAGTTTCTAGAAGCAGCCCCAAGAGCTCTCCACATCTACCCCTTTTATTTCCTAAACAAGATTGCCTCTTGACAAGAATGTCTTCCTTACCCGTCATTGAGTATGCATTAGCCAAAGCAACGCATTTCTGTCTTAGATTGGTAAGACTCTGCAGAATCTTACCTGACTTTGACTGCCAACCTCTTAATGACTCTGGGGATCCATTTTTAGTTTCAAAACATTTGGCCACCAACATATTGATGTTGTTAAACACACCCAGCTTACATGTTGATCAGGGTTAGGGGTAACTTCTTTCTCTATACACTTTGCTACCCCGAATCCCACTTGAGAGTTGTATTCCCAAGAATTGTAGCTCAGAGCTGAAAGATGATTAGATTGCTTTAATTTCAGTGTTGATCAGAGCCATAGTGTATGTGTAAGAAATGTTATGCTACAGAGGTCTCTTTACTTGTAATTAGAAAGGAAGCTCTAGAATCCCTGTAGTAAAAGTTGATTGGGATCCTTACATCATATGTTTATCTTGAAGTTGTCTTAGTAATGCAAGATTAAAAATACAAGATGTGGGCGGGGCATGGTGACACATGCATTTACTTAATTGTGGCATTCAGAAGACAGGCAAATCTCTGAGTTTGAGCCTGAGCTATGTAGCAAATTCAGGACAGCCAGGACTACCCAACTGTACAGAGAAATCCTCTAGGGTGGGAGGCTACAGTAATGATGTGATTATATCAACTTGTAAGTGAACAAGAGCCAGGAAAATCTGGCCATGCTTGTCTTAAGAGAGCCATCCTTGGGTAGCTTGCTTGTAGGGGTATGATTTTGGACTATTTGAATATTATATATGCATCCTGATGTTTCTTTACTGAAAATGTGGTGAAATACAAAAATAACAATTTTAAGAAGGAGCCCAGTGATGGATTGTAATAAGTGATAATGGTGAAGGTTGTAACCATTGAGTACCAATTAAAGAAAAATAGTGGAAACCAGAACATAAAGTAAGGCTACAACTACTGATAAGAGTCATAGAGCTTGGGGTTTGTTGTTTGTTTGTTTGTTTGTTTGTTTGTTTGTTTCAAGACAGGGTTTCTCTGTGTGGCCCTGCATGTCCTAGAACTAGTTCTATAGACCAGGCTGGCCTTGAACTCACAGAGGCCTTTGCCTCTGAAGTTCTGAGCTAAAGGCATAAACCTCTATGCCTAACTTTTAGAGCTTTGTTTAAGAAGTTGAGATGTTCTTATTTCTTTAAAGAGAATTTTTAAATCTTTTAGCAGTTTGTGATGTGACAGCCTTATATTCTTGTAGTCTTGAGACCATAAAGACCTAAAAGGTTTGTTTTGGCTTTATTTACATGTTTGAGTGTTTTTCCTGCATTTTTCAGTGTGCACTGTGTGTATGCAGTGCCTCTGGAGGCCGAAATGAGGGCATCAGATCCCTTTGGCCTGCAAATAATGATGATAGTGAGATACCATGTGGGTGCTTAGCACTGTACCTGGGTTCTTTGCCAAAACAAGTACTCTTTACCACTGTCCCCCAGTAAAAGATTGTGTTGTTTTGTTTTGTTTGAGACAGGATCTCACTGTGTAAAACAGGCTGGATTTAATTCATAGCAATCTACCTGCCTCAGTTTTCTAAATGCTAAAGTTTAAGAATTAGAGGAGAGGACAAACTGGCTTACTGATGGTCCCTTTTTCTTACTATGTAGCTCTGACCATCCATCCTGGTACTTACTCTGTAGACAAGCTTTGCCTTGAATTCATCTGCCTCCCCAGTGCTGGGAGTTAAGGCATGCACCACTGCCCCAGGTTATAGAACTCAGGCTCTTGTGCATGATAGACAAACACTCTCTACCGCTGAGCCAAATTTTAGTAAACATCAGAAGATCCATCCGTCACAGGTTCAGCCATCAGCTTTGCATTAGTTGTTTAGATTTGTTCTAGATGTTTGTGTGTTGACATTTTAGCTGGAAAAGAAAGCTATAGATTTGGTAGTTTTTAACTTAAGTGAGGTTTTCTTATTGGGTCCCATATATGTTAATTCACTTCCCTAAGACTGAGATTGACAAATTTCCTTTGGCTTTGGGCATTCTCTTTATCATTGGTTACTAGTCAGGTTCATTTATAAAAGGCCCTACATTATCCAGAAAAAGACCAAACCTCTGTTAGATGTTTGTCCTGTCAGCCATCCAGAGTGCACCTGATCATTACCTGAAATTGCTTGAGTGAGACTTTATTAGGCCATTTTGAACCCTACTAGTGTTTGAGGGCAGTCATCATTAGAGCTCAAGGCCTGTCCTTTCTTTAGAGGATAGGACATTAGTCTTGACTGTTGTCTGGGTGGGCGTGCTCTGTTTCTTAGAACCTGACCAAGGAGCAATTCATTTCTGGTCTCTGGGTTTTCATAGTTTTGGCAAGTGTTGCCCTGTCTAATCTCTTCAGTTGGGGTTTCTCTGAAGCACCAGGAAAGTTAATTGGGTTTATTTTGTTTGTTTTTGTGGACCAAAGGGACTGTCTTTGTTTAAAAATCTCAAAAGAAAATTTAAAATTAAGGCAATTTTGGTGGGGCCCTAGATAGCTTCGCAGTTGGGCTAGTCAGCAGAATTGCTGACAAACATTTGGAACTCTCAGCCTCCCCAGCGAGAAGGGGAGAAGTTTAACCTTCCAGATTTTGGTGTCACATTGACTTGCTTGGAGAGTGGTATGAACGGTCCCTGCCCGCTCCCTGTTGTATTTACCTCTTCCATTTGTATCCAGTATAATAAACCCAGTAATAGACCGTATATATATATATATGGTAGCCCTGTAGTCCTAGTTCTTGGGGAAGCTGATACAAGGGGGATTTGTATGTGCACAATATATAAATGTCAAAATCTCTTGTTCTGTGGAATTGTAACAAAAGCAAGCAAACCAAGCAAAGAAGTTCCTTGCAAAACTTCCAAATTTTATAGCAATGGTGGATAGAAATGACAAGATACTTCTGTAGATTGGAGCTTGCAGTGACCCTCTGAGATGGTATCTGTTACGTCTATTGATGAGTATTGACATGAAATACGATTCCCTCTACCCTGTTTATTTAGCTGTGGTTCTGTTTTTTTTGTTGTTGTTGGGGGAGGAGTTTTGAGACTTGTTTCTCTGTGTAGCCCTGACTGTTACTCTGTAGACCAGGCGGGCCTCAAACTCAAGAGTTCACCGCCACATCTGGCTTGGTTTTATATATTCATTGCCTTATATATTCATTCTCTCTCTGGCCAGATCACTTAGGATTGTCTCATCTTCTGCAACACCCAGTGTGATAAAGTTACAGACAGTAGCTGCTAACAACAATAAATGTTGCCCAGATGGTAGTGGTTTTGGTATTTAAGATTAATCTGTTTCATCACCTTGTGGAAGTAGGGGTTAGTTTATGTAAAAGTGTTTTTTTTTTTCAAAACATTTAAAAATTGACGTTTGGACATAAGGCTTTGTTAAGAGTTCCTTAAATTTTATCATTCAGTTAGTTTTACCATGCTCCACAGTTGCACATCACAAAAAATAAAAAAACATTTCTCTTTCCAAAAAGAAATTCTGTTGCTCATAAATACCACTTTCTGTGTATTTCATAGAGACTTTTATGGTTTGTATTTTAGCAATTAACAATAATATATGTGGTTAAAGGGTTTGGGAATGCTGATCATCTGTGCTTACGTGAACGTGCCCTATGCAGGCTGTGGCCTGTTCCGTGTTTTTACTGAACACACTGTACTGATTTATGATTGATACTGTTTGCATGTTGTATATTGCTGTTTTTATTCAACAATAGTTGTTATGTAGTTAGAAAGAAATGTATGGCCCTGCTTGAAATGTTATCATAATAACATTTCAATATCATAATGCTGTCTTTATTTTTTGGCAGGCAGAGAACATTTATAATGATGAAGACCCTGAAGGAAGTGTGGATCCAGAGGGACAGGGATCCTAGACACGCCTGCACTTGTGATTTTAGACTCTCCTTGTTCTCCTTTGAACCCTGAGATGGATTTAACATTGTTTAAGACACAGACTTTGTTCAGCTACCCAACTACAATAGGTGCCACCATCAATGCTAATAGCCCAGACCATGGGTGTTTTCTAAATCTTAACTGGGGGGCTTCATTCAGCAACGCCTCGTTGGTGGCTCCAGTTGTGGCTGGATAGCTGAACAAAGTCTGTTTTTTGTTGTGTGTGTTTTTTCCTTCTTTTCCTTCTTTTTCTTTCTTTTCTTTCCTTTTTTTTTTTTTAAAAAAAAAAACAAACAAACAAACTTGGGACCACCAAGTTGTAAAGGTGTATGTTTTTACCTGGCAGTTGTACCACTGGTGAACTGTCAAGTTGAGAGTGAATTGCTAGTTTGTATTTGTTTTTAAGATTAAATTAATCCTTGATAAAAGTTGCTTTTTTAGAGGTTAGTCTTTGACCACTATAGTTTGATGCCATCTCCATTTTGGTTGACCTGTCTCACCATCAGGCCTGTTACTCTCCATGACTGACTGTGTAAGTGCTTATAATGGAATAAATTGCTTTTCTATATAGCCTCAAGCTGGCGAGTTTTATTTAGTATCCATCAGACAACAGTCTCTGGCTTCTGGAAGAGTTCGTTCAAATGACAGTTGTTTTCCATGGTTTTGACTATCAAGATCAGAATAAACATAATAGAATAGACCCATAACCATAGATAAAAGAGAACTTTACTCCAGTTGGGGAAATTGAAGACATTACTGAATAGAGTACACAAACCAGCCTTGGTAAAATTACATATTCTTGAAGTCTTTTCTAGGAGCTACATATGTTTCCAAAAATCTCAAAGGCAGTGTGATAGAGAACTTAAGGCAGAGTTTAAATTTGAAAGACACTTGAACTGTGTACAGAGAGCTTGTATCTGACAAATGTTTTTCATTGGGAGCCCTACTTTTAAAGTATAGACTTAAGAGTCGGCGCCTTTATTGCCACTTGGTGATAACCGTAAAAAATAACTGCTTTTGCTTGGACTGACTAGGTGAGTCTCACCTCCAGAACCATTTATGGTCTGGGGGAAAGTTTGAGAAATGAAATGTCTGGTCCAAATCTGAAGTGATTCCTAGGACTTCTGGTAACGTTAGCATGAATTAAAAATGATCAGGCTGAGTATGATGGCACATAATTTTAATCCTAGCTCTTGTGAGTCAGAGACAAGTAGATTTCTGTGAGTTTGAGTTCTTCCTGAGTTCCAGGACAGCCAGAGCGACATATCGTACTATCGTAATAGTCTGGAGGGGTGGGGCGTGTCTTGGGTCGTGCTGGATGGTGCGCACCTGTAGTCCCATCGGTTGGGAGGTAGAAGCAAGATCAGAAGTTCAAGGTCACCCTGACCTACAATAACAAGATAGAAACCAGCCTAGACTACTTGAGACCTGGTCTCAAAAAGCAAGCCTGTCGTCATTCCTTTAATCCCAGCACTCCAGAGGTAGAGGCAGGCAGATCTCTGAGTTCAGGTCCAACATTGTCTAAAAAGTGAGTTCTGGGCCACCCAGGGCTATATAAGTGGGGTCTTATGGTGATGGTGGTTTTTTTTAATATGACTATTTTAAGAGTAAATTATGTGAGTGTAGACTTGAAGGGGAAGATGGCTTTGTGAGCGGAGTCATTTAAAAATCTAATACCTGTAGCACAAAAGAATCTGCTGTGGATCTGTACAGCAAAAACTGGCTGCCTTTTGACCCCAGCATTTTCCCTCAGGTGTTCTTGATTTGGGTCAGCACAAAGCAGTCCATAACGTTCTTCACAATACTTCAGGGTGCGGTGATACATCCATTACTCAGGGTTCTGCTAGAAGATAAAAGGCTCATTTCCCCTTCCATAGTGCACTGCGGTCAGGACCAGCAGTCTGCAAAAAAGAATCCAGATCGGAGTTGACTGGGATTCTGCTTCCAGCCAACTTAAACTTTTTAGGCAAGCCAGCCAGTGTTTGTAATTTTACAGGGTGAATTGCTTGCCAGGTGCTGGTACTCTTTATCTGTTTGGAGAAAGTCCATCCCTAGTGATCCTTTGATAAATGTTTTGTTGTTTCTGGGTTACAGATCCAACCATACATTTCTAAACAGTCCCTGTAAGATCAAAAGAAACATAGTTAAGTTTATACTTTCTACAATAACAATGAATTTCAAAGGTTTTCTTAGAACAGGATAGGCTGGGGAGAGATTTCAACACTGTGGTTTGTTTTGGTTGATTTCAGTATATTGCTTTGACTGGACTGAAGTTGACTTTGTAGAATTGGGGCCTTTAACTCCTGAGTGTTGATTAAAGTCATGTGCCACCACGCCTGCCTACAACACAGTTTCATGGGACCAGGAATGACATTCCACTAGCAGATACTGAAGTAGCTCTTACTTGCAAAACTGAGTAATGATAGGTGAGGGGATAAAGTAACCAGATGTGGGGGCATACAGCTATAGTTAATAGCTCTTGAGTTTGTGATGTTCCTGCCTCAGCTTCCCAAGTGGACTGGAGTGGTTTGGTTGACAGATACTAAGCTCTAAAACATCCCAACTACTGAATGAATCCATAGCCTTTGTGTTTATTATGCAAGAAAATGGGGGCCGAAGAGATGGCTTAGCAGTTAAGAGGATGTCCTCTCTAGAGGACCTCAGTCAGTTTAGTTCCGTGTACTCACACAGACCCACACTCTGACACGGAAAGGAATGGACAAGCTTGTTAGTTGTTTTATACATTGTCCAAGCAGCAAGTTGGGGCTCTACATCCTTATTTTTTTAATGAGTAATTTAGCCTCACGTTGGGCTCTTGTTGCTCTGAACTTGATAATAGGGATGCCTTTAATCTGTACCACAGTGTGGGAAGGAGTGGCTATGTAGAACCTGGATTTTGGGTGTTTTAAATATTTTATGTGTGAGTGAATGTTTTGCTTGCGTGTGTGTGTGTGTGTGTGTGTGTGTGTGTGTGTGTGTGTGTATCACATTTGTGTCTCTACAAAGGCCAGAAGGCATCAGATCATCTAGAACTGGAGTTACAGACTTGTGAGCTGCTTTGCAGGTTCTGAGAGCCACTTCTGTGTCCCCAGCAAGTGTCCTAATGAGCCACAACCAGCCAGTAGATGATGTATCTATAATAGTTCTTATCTGGCACTGGTGGCTCAAGCCTTCAGTCTCTGCCAGAGGCAGGCAGATGTCTTGAGTACAAGGCCAGCCTGGTCTACACAGGACAGCCAGGGCTACCCAGAGAAACCTTGTCTCAAAAAAAAAAAAAAAAAAAATTAAAGCTTTCCAAATCAATTATGCTTGGCCTTAGATATTTGAGAGACATAGCCCTACTATCCCTAAGTTATTTGAAAATTTAGACACAGCACTTAGGAGGCTAAGGCCAGGAATTCTGCCTGGAATTGAAAGCCCATCCTCAGAGCCAGTTTTAGGTACAGAGGCACATGCCTGTAACTACTGAGAATGGGGTAAGAGGGTCCCAAGCAAGGGTAACAGTGAGACCCTCCAGAGCGAGGCATTAGTGTTGTTAGGGAAAGCAGTAATGACAAGCACACACCAGTCATCTACCCACAAAGATCACCTGGGGATTGTGCCTCCACTCCACCTGCCTGAGAAGTAGGTGCATCAGCCTGTTCCAGACTCTTGGGTAGCATAGCCCTTTAAAAAGAGAGAGCTGTTTTTCATCTGTTCATGGGTGGGCACATTTTGAAAGTCATTTCCCCAAGTGATTTGTTTTCTTTAAATATTCCCTGGGCCCTCCCACCATCCTCTCGGTTTTAGATTTAAGAGACTTGCAAAGCAGAGAACACTGACTTATATGTAGAAAGCTCTTCCGCAAGGCTTGTCCTCAGCCGCTCCATCTCCTTGTTCTTCTGTTGCTGAACTTGCACCCCACTGCGTAACTGCCTCTGTCTCTCCTCCATCTCCTCCAGCTGCTCCTGCACAGGATGGCCAAACACTTGTGAGCCAGACAATAAGCACCTGGCTGCTGCTAATAATAGAACTTGCATGTTGGACTTTGTGTTATCATCATTTAGTTTGGTTGGTTGGTTTTTGTTGTTGGTTGGGTTTTTTGTTTGTTTGTTTGTTTGTTTTTAAACAAGAACTCGCTGTGTATCTGGCTGGCCTGGAACTCTATGTGTAGGCCATGCTGGCCTCCAGCTCTGATCTGCCCGCTCTCCCTCCTCAGTACTGGAATTAAAGGCATACACCACTGTGCCCTCCCTGTATCATTGAATATTTATAGCAGTATCAAGCATTGGCGTGGCGACATGCACCTTTAATCCTAGCACTTGGGAGGCAGATGGTAAACAGATCTCTGAGTTTGAGGCCAACCTGGTCTACAGAGAGTTCTAGAACAGCCAGGGCTACACAGAGAAACTCTGTCTCAAAAAACTGGGAGAGTTGGTTGACTTGAATCGTCATTACCAATCACTTGGTTAATTAAATCGGAACTTGGTTAATTAAATCGGAACAAAGGTGAAAAGGTGAGTGGGGGAATGGCTCAGACAGGGCACTCGTTGCTCTCGCAGAGGACCCACATGACTCAACCATAGGTAACTAGTTCTAGGCTCCTGTTCTGAGTCCCTCCTCTCCTCACCTCTCTGGGTACCAAGAATACATGAAGTGCATATACAAACATCCAGGCAAGACAGAGTGAGCAAACTAAAGAAATAAAAAGGTGTATTCAGCCGGGCAGTGGTGGCACACGCCTTTAATCCCAGCACTTGGGAGGCAGAGGCAGGCAGATTTCTGAGTTCGAGAGTTAGAGGCCAGCCTGGTCTATAGAGTGAGTTAGTTAGAGGCCAGCCTGGTCTACAGAGTGAGTTCCAGGACAGCCAGGGCTACACAGAGAAACCCTCTCAAAAACAAACAAACAAACAAAAGGGTGTATTCAGGGGGTTGGTGTTCTTAGTGTTTTATCAGTTGCAACATTCCTCATTTATTCGTTACTTTCTATTTTAAGAACATAGTAAGGTATTTTTAGCTTGTGGGTTGGAAGTCTTGTTTTTTAAAAAGGATTTATCTGCACTTCATACATTATTGAGTTTGAAAAATCATCTCACTACTAAAACCAAAGGTAAACCTGCATGAAGGAGCTAGAGTTATAGTCCAGGGGTAGAGAGAGCATACGCCTGCATTCTAATGAGCCAGCACTGGAAGGAGGAATTAAGATGTGGTCATGGCCGTACACATGAACACTCTGAAGGTGGAAGGGCGAGGACCTGAAGTTCAATAAAAAGCCATCCTTGGTTACGTAATTTTTGGCCAGCTTGCACCACATAAAACATTGCCTTTAAAAAAAAAAAAGTATAAGATAACTTGTGTGTGGTGCTGAGGATACCAGCTGAGTACTATTTGAGTCTTCTGGTAATAAAGGGAAACGGTCAGCGTGTCTGACTTGGCTGCTAGCTGGCTTGGATCCTTAGTGATTGGGGTGGGACAGCTGGGGATGCGGTTCACTTGGCAGACTGCCTCTCTCCACACAGCCCTGGGAATTATGGGATATGCATTTTGGAGATAGAGACAGAATAAGGTTCCAGGCCAGCCTAAGCTGTGTGCGACCTTGTCTCAAATGGTCCGCGAACTTTGGGGACACTGGGTGTTGGTGTGTGTGTTTGGGGGTGGGGTGGGTAAAAGGATGGTTGGGAAAGACTGAGGATCAGTTTTGGGTGTGTGTTGTTATTAGAGGGCTTTTCTGATTTGAGGCAGCTTTGGGATTGTACTGAAACACATAAGTCTATGATGCTGGACACTTGCTGCAGCTTGCCTTTAACCAGAAGCGTGTCAAAAGATTTTTTTTAAAGATTTATTTTATGTACATGAGTACACTGTTGCTGTCTCGGACACACCAGAAGAGGGCATCAGATCCCATTACTGATAGTTGTGAGCCACCATGTGGTTCCTGGGAATTGAACTCAGGACCTCTGGAAGAGCAGTCAGTGCTCTTAACCAATGAGCCATATTTCCAGCCCAAAAGTTTTTTTTAGTGCCCAGCCCTGCTTTGGGGACTACAGAGATGCGGCCTTACCACCTAAGAATGTGGCATTTGAAGGGAGGCATCGCTGCCCCAGTTTTGACTAAGACACAAGAGTACATGGGTGGGGTGATGCTTGCCTGTAATCCCAGAATTTGACCCAGACTCAGAATCAAGGTCACTACAGTGAGTTAAGAGGCCAGCCTGGAGTCTAGGAGACCCTATCTCAAAAAAAAAAAAAAAAGAAGAAGAAGAAAAAGAAGTGGCTTGATGTGGTGACACCCACCTTTAACCTCAACAGATTTCTGAGTCCAAGACTAGCTTGCTTCACATAGTGAGTTCCAGGACAGCGCTATGCAGAAGACCTGTCTCAAGAACACTTTAAAAAATACTGTCTGAGGAAATTGCTTAGTCACTAAAGTGCTGGCCACACGATATGAGAGCCTCAGTTAATCCCCAGAGTCCATGGGGGAAAACACTGACGACATGCTCACACTGGGAATCCAGAAACCAGGGAGCTCTCTGGACAGTAGCAGCCATCACCAGGCCCATGAGAGACCATCTGAAGGAGCTAGGTGGAGCTGGCCTCTTTAAGGGAACATGGGCAGGTTGATGGAAGAAGTCACCTGAGTCAATGAATTCCTGGCCAACCAAGGCTAAGTAGAACCTGTTATTAAAGAAGAGGGCGGGGGGAGGTCGCTGCTGGAGAGATGGCTCAACAGTTAAGAGCACTTATTCTTCCAAAGACCCTGTGTTCAATTCCCAGCAACCACATGGCGGCTCACAACCATCTGTAATGGGATGGATCTGACGCCCTCTTCTGGTGGGTCTGAAGAGAGTGACAGTGTGCTTATGTACATAAATCAATCTTTAAAAATAGAAAGGGAAAGGGTGTTGACTTGGAGAGAGGGTTCCATGTTTGGGTTGGTTTGAGTTTTTGTTTTGGGGTTTTGTTTGTGGGGTTTTTTTGTTGTTGTTGTTGGTTGGTTGGTTGGTTGGTTGGTTGGTTGGTTGATTGGTTGGTTGGTTGGTTTGTAAGACAGGGTTTCTCTGTGTTCCTTACTGTTCTAGAGCTCACTTTGTAGACCAGGCTGGCCAGGAGTTCAAGAGATCTACCTGCCTTTGCCTCCTGAGTACTGGGATTTAAAGCATGCACCACCACTACCCCTTAAACACTGAAGTGACTCAGTGTTTAAAGCAGGACCCACGATGTTCAGAGGACCCACAGCATCTGTACCTCCAGGTCCAAGGGACCTGGTGCTGCCTTCTGGACACCTTGGTATACAGACATACATACAGGCAAAACACCCATACACACAAAATTGAAAAATTAAATTTAAAAAAGCACACAGTGCTCTTGCAGGGAATTCAAGTTCAGTTCCCAGCCCTCACCTCAGACAACTCATAACTGCTGGTCACTGCAGCTCCCAGGGATGCAGTGACTGACGTCTGTGGCCACCTGCACCAGTATGTACCTACCCAGACTTACACACTCATAATTAATAAAAAAAAATTTTTTTTTAAGTCTTAAGACTAAGCCAGGTGCAGTGGTGCATGCATTTAATCCCAGCACTCAGGAGGCAGAGGCAGAGGAGTTCGAAGCTGACCTGGTTAGTCTACAAAGCCAGAAATAATAGACTCCAGGTCTCCTTGCTGTTAAATAACAGAAGGGAAAGGAAAGCTGGCTAACGCATGAGCATGGGACTATGGGAAAGTGGCGCACAGGGATGACAGGTGTGTGTATGTAGGTTATATTAGTTTATGTCTGAGTCCCAACCAGATGGGACTGATTACGTTCTCAGAAAATCCCTCGTCCCTCCTTGTCGGGCTGTAGAACATCTTGGGTTGGTATGGGCACCTGAGACTGCAGGTGTTTGGCCACGCCCCCAGAACCCAGGGCCCTGACATGTGGTCTCATCTCCATTTAACCTGTACTGTCCGTCACATAAGACACAGGTGGAGGGCGTGACTAACAGTCCTCAGCCTCGAGAGGTTTACATATTAATAAGGCAGGGGGGCCTAGATAATTAAGTTATTCTTCCCTGGTCCCTCCTCCTTCCTACCCTCTATATAAGCCACTTCTCCTGACTCTTGGGGAGCGCACATCATCCAGATACAACTATCATCATGGACAATAAAACTTTCATCTTGGATTCCACGTGTCTTCTATGTCTGGGACTTTCTCGCATATGTGGGAAACCTCGGCTGCGCCACTGCCTGCACTGCAGTGTCCCTGCAGGCCACCTCCGCCAATGCTCTGGGACTCTGCCGCCACCCTGTCCACGTACAGGCCAGATCTGCCACCTGCGCACGTGAGTTGTTTTTTTTCCCTTCACCTTCTACTGTGTCTCAGAAATCTTTTTTCCACTTATGGTGTAAGCAATGCCAGGCTCTTTGAGCCCACCACCCAGGCTGCATAACAGAGGTGAGGTAGCAGTGTGATGCCTGCTCCTTTTAACATAACTGTAGCCATTTGGTATTCAGTCTCCAGTTTGCTCATAAGGTGAAATTAAATTCAGGTTTTCACACTCCGCTTCCCAGAAGTAATACCCATCGCTGACACGAAAACGCCTAAAAGGCCATAACACTGCGGTTGTATTTCTTCTGCTCTATTATTTCAATGCTCTGAAATCCTCCCCGTTCACCACCTGCCCACCACTCTCCTCTTACCTCACTCAGGACCAATCAGCTCAAAAGTCAGCTGATAATTCTCTGTCTAGTTAGCAAAAATGTAGTAGTACTGCCTCCACTCTTGCCTTCCGAGCTTCTGAACTTGGTTTTTCCCTTTTTTTTTTTTTTTTTTGGTTTTTCGAGACAGGGTTTCTCTGGCTGTCCTGGAACTCACTCTGTAGACAAGGCTGGCCTCAGAAATCTGCCTGCCTCTGCCTCCCAAGTGCTGGGATCAAAGGCGTGCACCATCACCATCCAGCTGGGGTGTGCCTTCAATATACTATTCTTGCT